CATGGAAGGACCTCATGCAGACAATGGCACGGTCCCTTCACGGGGCGGCCAATCCGAACCCTGACTCACCCAGTGAAGCAGCTGACTACATCAAAGCTGAGAATCTCCTCCTAAAACAGGCGCAGTTGGAGTCATTCCCAGAAGAGGTAAAGGCTCTCATCTCTGACTGACCCTTACCAACCTCCAGCCGTTTGGGCTCCTTATCTCCCGAGTATGACAAGGATACAGGACTCCTCAGAGTCGGAGGGAGGTTACAGAGAGCGGAGCAGCTCAAACTAGACACCATTCACCCGGTCTTGCTAGACCAAAAGCATCCGCTGACCAACCTTATCATCCAGGATTTTGACGAGACCCTCCTGCATCCTGGACCGGAAAGAGTGCTGAGTGAGCTGCGTCGTCGGTTTTGGATCCTGCGGGGGAGGGAAGCAGTCCAGAGGTATCAGAGTCACTGTATGCAATGCCAGACATGGCGTGCCAATCCTTCTATCCCTAAGATGGCGGATTTGCCACGTGCTCGTCTACGCCTCTATAAGCCACCCTTCTATACAACTGGAGTTGATTGTTTTGGATGTCGAACAGAGAAGCGTTGGGGCATTGTCTTTAAGTGCATGACAACCCGCTGTGTACACCTAGACCTCCTGGAGAGCCTCGACGCTGACGCCTTTCTGATGTCGCTACGACGATTCATAGCCAGAAGAGGCAAACCCTTTGAGCTTCTGTCCGATAATGGAAGAAATTTTGTTGGTGGAGCCCGAAAGCTATGTGAAGCCTTTGAGGCCATGGCCCATGGCCCCTAACCTTAAGGAACAGTTGGCCAAACAGCAGATTGAGTTCTGTTTTAATCCCCCCAGCGCTCCCCACTTCGGTGGAACGTCTCTTCAGACATAGCTGATCCGGGTCCCATCACACCAAGTATCCCACTAATGGGACGCTACGATGCATCACTTCTTCAGGCCGTTTATGACCCTAGTAACACCCTTGGGAATCGTCGATGGCGGCACAGCCAAGTCCACGTTGATCATTTCTGGTCCAGATTCATCAGTCACTACCTGCCCAGCCTACAGGAGAGACAAAAGTGGCAGAAAGACGGGAAACACCTCGAACTGAACCAAGTGGTGCTCATTGTGGATCCTCAGCTTCCATGAGCTTAATGGCCTGTTGGGAAGGTAACGGCTACTTACCCTGGAGCTGATGGACGCATCCGGACTGCTGCCATCAAGGTCAAGGAACGGACATACATTCGACCGGTAACTCGTCTGGTCCAGCTCCCAAAGCTTGAAGACACTGCCAGAGCCACCTACCTGAGTGGTCTTTCTACCTTGGATTCGACTGTCTGTGCAGACAGTCGGGGGCGGCTGTGTTAGAAAGCCCACATAATGTACTAATGTATTGTTAAATTGTTTATTGAGCTAAGTTCCATTCAGTAATAGCCTGTTCTCTGTAAGTTTCTATATGTCCCACACTCTTGAATGTATCATAGCCGTTCCGACGCTATTGAATGTACCACACGTGTGTGAAAACGCTGTGCTGTTATGCTAGTTCTCCGGTGGATATACTGTAATCTCCTTTCGCTTTTTCTCAACATTCACCTCTATCTCCCTGGTTTATTGCTGTTCGTAAATGCCGTAAGGTGAGATTAACGACATTATACTGTGACTGGATGCTAACATTGTGTACTGTTTAGCTGTGCATAAGTTAATGCTATCTCTGTTGTTGTTATTAGCGTTGTTAAAGCTAATAAGCTAAGTCACGCTGTATGTATGCATCGTGTTAGGTGATTTGTGTATGTTATATAATCCCTGTGATATACTTGAGTACAGAATACAGTCCTTTGCAACCTTAGTTACCTTATTATGTTTGTGTATCTGTATTTGTGTTTATGTATGGTGTCTGCTGTACTGATTGTTACTTTGCATTATTACAGACCACAGCTAAATAAATCAACCAAAACAGGACATCTGTATCCGTGTTCTTTAGCGGGAACACCAACCCAACACCTTGCCACTCTAAACCAGTTAAATTCTTGGAGACAACCCTTTCTCTCCTTTTTATACATTATAAAGAGATTCCCTCACTCTCATTTTCATTTTTAGAAAATGTATTGTATACTCTAATGTTTTTTTCCAAGCACGAAGAAGACACTTAGGTGGCTGTGGAATGCCAGAAAAACACAAAAGGCCTTATCTAGAGCTAGTGTTTGTAGATCAAAACTGCTCATTCTAAGGTAACAAAAACACAACAGTTCTTATTTTCATGTGATTATACACTAATGAAAACATACCTATGAATGTTATAATCCACATGTTACACACTGGACCTTTAAGCTTGGTTTAATAGTGTCTCTTAATTTAGTAATGACTAAGGTAATGTATTTAATCATGATCATACTACTAAGATTTCATACTGGCATGTTCCTAGTTACTAAAAACATAACTGTAAGCCGCCCACTAAACATCTCTTCACCCAGTACTAATTACAGCTGCTAGCTGCCAGACATCTGACAAAAAAGCTTCCAGCTCGTGTGACAGCTCATATTACAACACTTATCAATTTTGTTACACATCCATGCCTTTTCCAAGAAAAGCTCATTGCTTTCCAAAAGACATTATTTTGGTACATTTTAAAGATGTTTTCTAGGATGTGTGTGAACCCTGACATTTGCTATTGAACATAAATATCGCGCAGGTGGTGAGCAATGAGATACTATGTTCTCGTTTGGGAACTTCCCAGAGATCTCAATCAGTCAGCAGCAGCTCAAGGTTCATCATTGATTTTGGAAGCTATAGTTTGAATTTTCTGGCACAAGGTCTACTAACTGGAAAATCTTTTGGTAATGTACAAACTTCATTAGTGGATTGACTAAAACATGGACCTTTCCAGCTTTTATTGGAAGTAACATCCTTTTCCTCCACATTTCCACTGATGAAGTAAAGGCTGTCACTTTATGTTCAAAATTCAAAATTTCGTTCATTTCCAAAGTGTAATTACCTGTTTTGAATTTAAAAAATGTACTGTATAAAAACGCAACAAACTGTCTGAAGTAGTGTCCCTAGTGATCCAGCAGAGGGCACTCTCAGCTTTTGACCTATCAGTAAACTAAGCTAGTAACGCTGTCCAACTCTACAACAACAAATCTATGGACTCACTTGCTAACATTGGCCACCCAAGTGAGGCTAAAGAGCAGAGGCAGCACAGACGAGCGACGCTTCTGGCCCATTACCAGAGGCTCGTAACAATGCCATCACCCATAACATAGCAAGATTTATTTGCAAGGATATGTGCATATGCAGTGTGTCCTATCCTATAGTATAATTTTTATGTTCAAGTGTGATTTTTGAACGAAAATTTTTTAAAAGTGACAGCCTGATATGGCTAATATCAGCCAACTTAGGATGTGACAGTACTTTATACATGGTATGTCACAGTTACATTCCCCCAGCAACATCTTTTAACCATCTACAAAATGTAGTCAACGTAGATTAGCCTATCACATAGCATATCTAAGTACAGGAAAGGGGAAAGCTGACTGAGGTTCCGTGGAAAGGGTTGGGATTTAGGGAGCATCAATTTGCCACAGATATACCAGTGTAAACTACAGCAGAGATTGTGTAGGCTGTCCCTGCAGAATGTAGCTGTATGATGCCTGAGGAGTGAAAGCACGGAAAGCATGATGAGCTTTCCAGCCTTGTCTGGTTGTCATGTCTCCATACTATCTGCAGCAAACAATGGACAGGGATGTCCCACTGCCTACAAACATCCTAATTCATTCGCTCATCTCTTTTTCACTGTCTATACTCTGCCATATGTGAGGTCTGATAGCAAGACTTCCTACATCTCTATTCACACTGGATTCGAAGGATTACTCTGTATAGCTCACAGGCTCAAACACTGTGGGAAGCTGTGACTTTGTGTGTGTGTCAAGCACGGTGATAACTCTTTAAAGCAGCGGAGCACAAACAACAGCTCTTTATCAGCTCCCTCTCAGCCCTGCCCTCCCTGTTGTTTGAGTGATACACACACACACACACACACACACACAAACAACAACACACAAACAACCAACACACAAACGCACACACACACACACACACACACACACACACACACACACACACACCACACAACAGACACCACACACACACACACACACACACACACACACGCACACACACACACACACACACACACACACACACACACACACACACACACACACACACACACACACACACACACACACCTGTCTTTCTGTCCTCTCATTCTTTCTCCTTTCCTTCGTCTTCCTCATCAACCTAATTTCCATTCATAATCCAGATCAAGTTGCTCTGCAGGGTCTGGACTTCAGGATGAAACCAAACCCAGTACTGTGAAATTAGTTTATCTGTAATCACTGAACTGAGAGATGATCTCTCTCTTCTTTTTCCCTGTCCATACTTCATTAACGGCATTTGATATCAAACAGACAGATATTGGCCTGTTTCTTACTGGAGTGTTCATTAACTATGCAGCACCGTGTCCCGCACATCACCATCGTTCCACTTCCTCTCATTTAGTCTCAGTTTGACAAATAAATGGCAATCAAAGCCATGGGGGTACTGTGTCATTTTCATCCAATTCGGTATCACAAGTTTACACAAAAATCCCTTCAAATAATACAAACCACACTTGTTGCTTTTTAGTCTAATTAGGTAACCAGCATGTCATTTTGCAATCCGGCACTCAACAAATCTCAAACTCTATAAAAGCTCCACATTTTCACTAAAGCCATTACATTGTCAGTTTTTGTTCTCGTCTATTGATTAATTTGAAAATGCTCAGAGAAAATGATGTTATTCCCTGTGGTAATTTGGAGAAACTGAAGGAAAAACACGAGTAGAAGTAATTATGTTGTTGGAGTGATTTCAGTATAAGGATATAAAATACAAGGTTCAGGGATCCACCACATGAACACAAGCATGAACTTTTCTATCTGCACCCATCATCCTGTTCCTCTGACTTACCAAGTATGGCCAGCACAGTGTTGTCTTTCAGGACCTCCATGGAGCCCGAGCAGACAAAGTAGATGGCCTGCAGGGCGTCTCCCTGCCTGATGAGGAACTCGCCCGGAGCGCAGAAGGAGGTCTTGATAATGAGGGACAGGGAACGCAGGCAGCCCCTGCTGGCCGACTCGAACAGGGGGAGCTGGAGCAGCTCCTTGTTCAGGTGCATGGCGATGTCGGCCCTCAGCTCGTCCGGGAAGTCCTTTAGGAGCTGTAAAGCGAGAGAGGGTTCACACTCAACAGCTGGTCTTTCCTAAGATTTGCAATGGCTGCTTCAGCTAAACCAGTGGTTCTTAACCTGGGGTTCAGGGACCCCCCGGAGTCCTTGTGGGGGTTCCAAGGTTCCACAGAAAAATTAGTAATATTTCAATTTCATTATTATTTCAGTGATTAGAAGTAATGACAGAATGTATAAGAATGACTATTTTGTTAATAGGTTTCACACTCCTAACTGTTAATTTGCCAATCTGCAGTACAGTTAAGGAATAACTAAATCTGATCAGACCAAAAAGGTTGATAACCACTGAACTAAACAGCATCTACACTCCAGCATCTTTACCTGAAAGCCATAATTCATGTGTATGTAAAACATGTGACTGAAGGAAAAATGTGGAGCAGAATGAACGTAAACCTTTCATTTTAAACCTGTTAAACACTGGTGTCGCTAATAACATTATAAATAGCTGCATTGCATTGACGGCTGGAACAAGCCATAATTATCAATGTTTAGATCCACATGTGCTTACGTTAATGCATTGAGTTAAGGTGGTGATAAAGTCAGTATATCACAGTTATCTTGGCCAAAATCAAGATTTACAATAATAATTAAAATGTGCTTAAAACTCTTAAAATGGCACTAAAACATACTAGAATTTTGTTAATAAACAACACATCTAGTTGAACTTTTTTTGCCTTGTGGCAGTTCAAAATAATGTTAGCGACCCAGACAGCTTCTTAAAGCCATTTGTGAGTATATCATGACTATCCCCCCAAAAAAATGTCACCACGAAAAACTTTTTTTTGTTTTTGATGACGATACACAAGAATATTGTGTATTATCCATCCCTAACACTAACACACTCATATGCTTTTGTGTTAAAGTGAATGTATGTCTCTCTCCTCACCTCGTTAACGTCTATCCCGTTGTTGACCGACCACGTGGTCTGGAAACACTCTAGCATGCGCTGCTCCAACGCCTTGGGCAGCCGGTGGACCCTGATGAAGTCCTTCAGGTCCTTGGTGCGTGTGTGGTAGAGCGAGCGGCGTGAGTACATCCTCTGGATGATCGCCGTCACGTTACCAAACACCACTGCATGCATCAGCGCTGGAGACAGAGGTAAGGTTGGTAAAATTGAATTACAGAGTTATATTTGATTGGCTTTTTATCTAGAATGGCCCTCAGGAAAATCCCATAATGCTTTTGCACAGCAGGAAGCTTTACAGGACATCCTATAAGACCCAACAAGTTAAAAGAGTGCAGGGCTTAAAAGGACTTAGCTGTTTGAAGCCACTGTAAGCATTGCCTCAAGTGGATTACTGCTTTCACAAAATGGCAGCAACACACTACTGAAATAATCCCAATGTGAATAAATCTTTTATTTTCTAGTGAACAAAACACCAGTAAGACAACAAAATGATCATTCTAAAACCCCCAAAAATGCTCTAATCCTAGTATGAGCACTGACTGGAACTATCTATCTTATAATGTGCTTTCCTGGCTCTACAGCACAGCGGTTTCCCTCCCTTAAATTCAATTCTTGCCCAAGTAAAGAAGCTGCTGGAACAGCGTTTAGACACTTTGGGACACTTACACTGTCCACTGACACCCAGACTAATAATATTATTTTAGGATGACTGCTCCTCAGGCAGGGTCACCCACCTCACATTTTGGTAAACTCTGGTGTAAAAACTTATAAATATCTTTTGGTTACAGCTGAAGGACACCCACTGCTTCAGGGCAGTGTGCCGTTAGAGCTATGAAATCAGTATGAGGATAAAATTCAGAGAGATTAATGAAGGTCTAGTCTCCTCTCTTTACTCCTCTCTCGGTTTAGCTTAGAGGACTATGCACACATGAATGCGGTTGCAAGGTTATTAAAAATCAATGCAACACAAAAAACACCTACTCTAAAATCCAAATTTAATCAAAGGATGAGGATAGCTTAGTTCTATGTTTTTCTTATTGTCAACAAATCCCATAAAAAAAAAAACAACAAGTCTGTCGCTTCTTGACTTCCCTACTGTCACTGGCATTCAGCCCCAGGCTCACTGGTTCCTACTGAAGATTTAAAAAGCTTCCCTAATTTCCTAAAACAGCTGGGCACTGCAGTTATTAACAAATGTTTCTTAAAAGGTGCAGTGTGTAGGATTTAGTGGCATCTCGCAGTGTATTGCAGATTGAAACTCCCTCGCTTCACCCCCCTTCCAGATGTGAAGGAGACTCTACAGTGACCACGCAATGCGCAAAATAAGAGAAAGGTCTTATCTAGAGTCAGTGCTTTGTTTGTCCGACTACTGTGTTTGGGCTACTGTAGTGTAAATGGCTTATTCTAAGGTAATGAAAACACAACGATTATTATATTGAGGTGATTATACACTAATGAAAACATACCTATGAATATTATATTCCATTTCTGACAATACAACTGGGCCTTTGCTCTACTAAGTATTTACAGCACCACAACACCATCAGTATGTGGGACTGAATCAAAGTATTGTAGGATCATTAGAAGTATTGTAGGATCATTAGAGTTCCAGCACAACCAGTATTCGTGTTATAACATCAAAATTTAAGAAGGTATAGCACAAATATTAGGCACATTAGCACCTTTCACTGGAAAAACAAATTAATTTCTTTATTCTTTCATCGAGGAAGGAGGAAGGAAGTATGTGATTTGTTACTTATTAGCTCTGTGTGTGTGTGTGTGTGTGTGTGTGTGTGTGTGTGTGTGTGTGTGTGTGTGTGGGGTGTCAGTCATTCACTGACATAACAAAATTGTTCATCGTCACATGTGAGCTCACACGTTCAATGCATGTGTACCGCTGTGGTTCAAGTCAGGGTTTTTTGCCACTGAAGAATGAAAGTAAGTCAATACAATGTCCTCTCAGGTAAAGTGTGTGTGTGTGTGTGTGTGTGTGTATGTGTGTGTGTGTGTGTGTGTGTTCATTTATAGCCCACTTCATGTGCACTGAAGCCTGAGACATCACTGTGTCCTCGTAATAATCGTCAGCGCATCCCGGCATTTCTCTCACCAGATAACCTTTTCATTTATTCTTTTACTGCTTTCTTCTGGAACATTGGGTTTTCTTCATTATGGATGTGCATCAGCACAAAAATCATCAGAATTCATAGTAGTAATGTGCTGAATGCATCCAACACATATTTTATGTTAACAAAAGGTACAATATCTATCCTAACTATTATGTTTTTTAAAAAGGAATGCCAAAATACTGTAGCTCATTAAAAATGGGAATATGTAAGTTTATCATCGATGTGGCTGCTGTCGTCATCATTTTCTTCATGTTCATCATCATCATCAGTCACTCTCTCTCTCTCTCTCTCTCACCCCAACTAGTCGAGGCAGACGGCCCCCCACCTAGGGCCGGGGTCTGCTCGAGGTTTCTGCCTCTAAATTTGCTCATGCCGCTTATTTGAAAGTGTCCTGAGATAACTTCTGTTATGAATTGGCACTAAACAAATAAAATTGAATTGAATTGAATAGAATCATGTCTGCATTTGTATGCTTGTGATTGTGAGTGCTAAAATGTTTAAAGGGACAGTTCACGCAAAAATCCAGAAAAATCACAAATACAAATCTTTCCTCTTCCTTGTAGTGTTATTTATCCATCTAGATTATTTTGGTGTGAGTTACTGAGTTTTGCAGATATCAGCCATTAAGATGTCTGTCAAGATAATCCACAGACCTCGTTGTGAACCGTTTCATCAAACTACACCCACCAACTGTTGCTGAACTTTAGCTATCTCAGCGGCGCTCGGTATGCTACCTAATGGTTACATCCTGTGCTGTCGAGTTTTTCAAAATGTGTTGTTGGGGAGCTTTGAGCACCAAAAACTGAGTGTGATCTGGTTCCATTATACTGGAACAATGTGTATTTTTAATTATGGAGTTTACTGCCCCTTTAAAGGCAAGGGAAAAAAGTTATTAGGCTTTCTTGTCTCAATGATTGTGACTTTAATCATCAAATAAAATAAATTAGTTATATTTAGCATCAAAGCAATATCATTTTTGGGCTTCAGTATGTACCTTGTGGCCATGTTTTGAACATTACAGTAATAGTTTGTCGGGTCTGCAGAGATGGAGTTGAATGTCTCTCTCCAATTTTCTCCCATTAATCTTCTGATCTTCACTGGGCCACAGAAGTTCATTCACATATTTAATTCCTTTTGAAGATTTAGCATCCGTGGGCGTTTGTTTGAAGGTGACACACTGCTGGGTGCTTCCACTCAAAAAACCTAAACTCATACAGAATATACCCTTTGTACATAGTTCTAAACAATGTGTATATTGGACATTGTGTATTTTGCTTTAGTCAAGATGGATATTCACTGCACTTTACTGAACCCTCTTTTGTTGTTTATATTCCTTACTTTTGTATCATTGACCTTTTGGAGACAAAACAGTTGCCAATAAATGCAGTTTAAATAAAACTATTATTGAATGCTACCAAAGTTACCATCAGCTACCATCAGCTAGGTCTTTGCCAATTCAAGGTCATAGTGTAGAGTATGTTATCATCGTCTGAGCAATGTACAATTTTCCATTAAACTAGAATTTGTTTGTAGTTTTCAATCAACATCTGGACACCAACATACTTACAGTGATAGCAAACTTTGTTCAAACTTGTTCATGAGAGAAAAAAAGCAGAAAATAATCAAAAAATGTTCAATCTTGGAAAATGATTTTTTAAATAAATCCTGTATGTACCAAAACTAAACTAAACTAAAATAAACCTTAGGCCTGTTACAAACTACTTTTGTTGGATGATATATTGTCTCAGAAATCCTTATAATAAACTACATTATTGGCATTTTAAGATTACGGCAAAACAAATGGATGACGAGAGGATAGTTTTTTCTGTCCATTCAGCTTCATTAACAGTAAATATAATGGACAGAGCTCCTGGGTCTGTGAAGTGAAGCAATGAAAAAGTGTCTTTAGCCTGCATTCTCTCTAATGGCCAGCAGATGGCAGCTCCATTGGCTGCAAAAAAGAAGTCTGATAGCATTGAGTCTTAAGGAGAAATGAGTCAACTTCTGACTTGATTTATTAGCTCAGTAAACAGTTTATGGTCTCTATCTCTAGTTTCAGTCTTCTTCCATACAGCATGATGTTCATTTAGTAAATGATGGTCCCATTTAATGTAAAATAGATCATAAAGTAGGGTGCGCTTAGGGCACGGCTACATTGTGATTGACAGGTCATTCTCAGTGATTCCGACCAGCTCGACGCACCAAACTCAGATCAAACTGTCAAACCAGGCAGTGCTGATCATGGATCCAGATTCTGTTACTGCATTGCCTATTGCTCACCTAAAATCGTTTCACAAACATATTTTAGTGTACTGTTTATCTGGATTCTGAGATTTTGTGTGACCAGGCGAGTGCCATAAACGCCAAACTTGAGGCTACAAAACAGTACTCCAATAATACCAATGGGTGACATTGCAACAGGTTCACATTTGTTTGGCTTAGGCGCTGCACCCAAGTCTTATATGCTGTCTATTCTGGCATCATGCTGGCGACATGGAACAAACACGGATGTAATCACAAAAATGATTGAATTCATGTCCATGGATTGTACGATAAGTCGATAATGTGATTATTGAGACAGGCCTACCAAAACAGTTTTTGACATATTGTGATTGCAAATAAACAAACACACAGCAAAACATGTAAGAAAGTAAACAAATGTGTGAGTGCATCTATTGTTTGTCACTAACATGAATAAAGAGCAATTGTTTTTTAAAAATAGACATAGCAAAATGTTCTCAGCTGTGAGAACTGGTACCCGTTAATGAGCTGGGTGCTTAAGACTGAAGTAGAGCTTCACAGCCTGAGAGGAAACACTAACATGCATACAAAGTGGAAGAACAGGGGGCACAAGCTAAGAACATTAACTAAAACACTCACACAAACACACTTCTCACCTCCTATGAGCATGGTGCAGATGGAGAAGATCTTCTCTGAGTCTGTGTTGGCTGATACATTTCCAAATCCCACACTGGTTAGACTGCTCAGAGCAAAGTACAGGGATGTCACGTAGCTGCTACGCATTGATGGGCCGCCCCCCAGCAACCCGAAACTTCCACCCCCAGCATCCGTTCCCGACGTGGCCTCGCTTCCCGACATGTTCCCATAATACTGGCTGGAGTTCCAGGAGGTCTGCCCTCCAACCTCTGACCCCGACACGTTCCACTGACTGCTGTTGGTGGGGAGGCTGCTGACTGTGGCAGGGACCAGTGTTGTCAGGGGGGACAGGAAGTAGGGCGTGCCCAGGCGCTTGCCAAGCTCATGGAGCCAACCTGAGAAAGACAAATGGAGAAAGAGAAATTCATTTCTAAAAACCCTTTTGTTTAATTCAGCACGGTGGCATGGTTATTCAAGATAAATGAGAGGATATAATTCCATTGTTAGACCTTTAATCAGATCCTATTGTACACAAAATGAAAAAACTTAATACAATTACTTAATGCTGTACCTAAGTGAAGTTTTGAAGTCTGTACTTAAGTTTTTCTTATCTATGGGATATTCTTGGTTATGTGGCTGATTAGACCTGCTCAGGTTAGAGTTAGCCAAAGCTCTGCCTGGATTTACATCAAATCACCATTAAGAATGATACAGTTGTATCTCGTCCTGTAATAGACCTAACAGGAGAGCATCTGAAGTAAAAAAAAAAAAAAAAGTATTAGTTTTTTAATCATGCTGCACAAGATAATATCTTTTGCATGTAAAGTTTCATCATCTTTCAGGACCTTGGGAGCTCCATAATTTAACACTCTAAAAGGGGCCATTATGAATAATGAGTACTGACTACTTTGGATACTTTAAGTACATTTAGCTGATAATGCTTATCGAGGGGAGAGAACCAGAAGGGCACAAGTGACATTTTGGGCAAAAAATTGTTATATATATCAAATGGAAGTTCTTGATGAACCTAAGCTAAACCAATCGAGAGTTATTATTGAAAAGCCAAAAGACCTAACGTTGAGCATGCTGAACTACTTGGGGCTAAAAGGGCACAAGTGCACTTAAAACAGTGGTTCTTAAACTATTTTTCAATAATGTAACCCCTTGGAAATATTTCCCTGACCAGCGCAAAACATTTTTGATGGATATAAAGAGACTTTATAAAGAGGAACAATACAGCACTGCACCATCAGTGTCTAAATTATTAAGAAAAACACTTGCTTGATTTCTAATGTTTACAATCCATCACTAAATATACTTTATTTTGTTATGATGCAATAACACTAAGACAGCATTGAAGTTTCTTATCTTTTTGATAAGTGAGAAACATTGGCTTGTGAGGTTTTTACTGCAGTTCACAGCTCACAGCAGTTAACGATTGCATTAAAAATAGAAATATTGAAAATGAAATATAGTTTATCGAACTTACATTTCCATTTTTTAAATTTATAGTCTAATAATTGTAGGAATTATGCATGACTGATATTTTTTAAATTAACATAAAAAACAAAACGTCAAATACCGCCTATAGTTTTCCAAAGTACTTCTAGGGTACCCACATTTGAGAAACACAGACTTAAAAGATAGAAAAATATTTTTTTCAGTAAATGTCAAAATATTATTCAGTAAGTATTCTGTCCATGTACATGTTTATGATGATTTTTATATATATATAATTAAATATTATGAAGATTGAATTAAATAAACAAAGTCAGGACAAAGTGGTCATTTTTTGGTTTGGTTCTCCTCTCCCTTTTTACTCAAATCAAATTTTCACTAGTATTTTCACATTGTGGTATTTCTACTTTTACTTAAGAATATGATCTGAGTACTTCTACCACCACTGTATAGGAACATCCAACTCCAGGGTGAGCTGCCACCTGCCTCTGCAGGACCTGCACTGCATTGTGGGGCTCACACCATAGACTCTACCACAATCTGATCATCTGTATTGCCAATTTAATGAACCTATGAAGTGGACATAGATGAAGTTACCTGGAACTATCTAGGTCCATCCTTCTGTCTAACAGGGTATGTTAGACAAGCGATTTACAAAATCAAATTAAAGCCATTCCCCCACATCCAGAAACTATGACTGCAAAGGTACAAACAGGCTTGCTAATCTAGATTAAGAGACTAGAGAATAAATGTGCTGATGTTTCGATTTGTGAACCAAACAGACACATCATGACTTGATCCCAGTGAGAGACAGTGGATTCAGGTTCATTGTACAAACAACAGTCAGCAATTGAGCTTCAGAGGAAAGAAGAAAAAAAAGTGGAGGGGAATGGAGCAAGGAGGCAAGACAGAAGGAGAAAGGGTAGAAAGTAGGAAGTGAAGGAGGAAGGATAAATTATTAAAAAAAATAGTGTTTGTGAGTGGATGAGTGGTGAAACCCAGCTGAGCCACAGATAGCAGTCAGAAAAAAGGAAGACAGCAAGAGAGGGAATATGAATAATACAATATGGATGCATCCATTCATTGATCTCCGGCATCACACCCTTCAGGCAAGCAGCTCTGACCTTGTGTGTGTGTGTGTGTGTGTGTGTGTGTGTGTGTGTGTGTGTGTGTGTGTGTGTGTGTGTGTGTGTGTGTGTGTGTGAGAGAGAGAGAGAGAGAGAGAGAGAGAGAGAGAGAGAGAGAGAGAGAGTTCTTAGGCCAGCCTGCCAGCATAAATAAGCAGGAGTGACAATCGAGCTGTGAGCAGAGTCTCAGTGAAGCAGCTAAACCAACAACATTAGTGGATATCAGACCTGAGTAGTTTCCTAATTACTCTGTCATTAGCACAACTTAACCTCTGCCATCCTGAGGAGACCTGGAGCTGTCTAAGACATTATATTGCTTATATTGCATGTATGTCTGCGACTGGGGATCAAAATATAAAAAATTAAGTACAAAGAATTTTATTCCTGTCAGTGCATGAGGGAATGTGGAGGGAATTACTAATGTTATTATAAGATCCTGCTATAATAAAGCCTTCATAACTGAGGAAGGATTCCCTATGGTTTAAGTTGATGTGAACTGAACAACAGCAAATTCATCATGCTCAGCCCTCATCTACACTTTTTTCCAAATGGCAACAGGTGATAGTAATGACCTGTGCTGTGCTCAAGACTAAAGGCTACCACACACACTGGCGGCAAACCAAAACTGACTGATTGAAAGCCCCAAAAATAATCAAAGAAAAATTAAAAAGAAAAAAGACATATGCTTATCATAATTTCCCAGAAGCCAAAGTGACGTCTTTTCTCTAACCAATAGTCAAAAACCCACAGAATCTTTTACTATCATAAACAACAAAGAATCCACACATTTAAGAAGCTAGAACCAGCAAATGTTTGACATTTTTGCTTCAAAAATACCATAATCCATTATCAAAATAGCTGGCAACTAGGTTTTTTTCGATCAATTAGCTGACGTAATCGAGTTATGATTGAAATCATTCAGCTGAGTTAGGAACTGTTTGTGCAACCTGTTTGTTCCTGCAGCGATCTCATCTGGCTTCTCGTCTAAGTGTAAATTAAAGTGTCTTAAGTCTTATCTGGTTTTAAGTAGACACTTGTATGACAAGTGTAAATGGGGCTGTTACTTCTTTTGGAGGAAATTGTTCAAATGGAGACTCTCTGTCTCTGTCCAAGGTGCCGATTTCTCCTCTCTGTCTAGCAGAGTTGATTGAATTCACTTGTGAGATGTCGTGGTCCTGAATTTCTGTCTTCCACCCTGTCTTAGGGTGCAAGCAGTAATTACAATAATTCCATTCAATTCCATTCAATCACCATCATCCTTGGCAAAGCTTCACAGGTGGTTGCAAGGCCTTCTTGATTTTCAATATTTATGAAGTAGGCCTATGTCTTAGCATTTCTGTGAATAAAACTAAATTAAATAGTTATTTTATAAGTTTAGATTATTATTTAAGCTCTAAACAGGATAAGGGCACAGTGAAGACCTGAGCATAAGCCACTTTCACAGAGCCTTCACAGCCTTGCCCTGCATTATAAAAATACGCAGTGAAAACAACCAAAGAGCTAATAGAACAATGAGAAGAAAAGACTATTAAGTATGTACGATTGTTACAGATTAAAAAAAAAAACCTAATACAGAGACAGCAGATTGTATAAAAAGCTCCTAAATCTAACCGGGGAAAAAAGGATGATTTGATTATAGGTGGTGGCCAGAGACCTCAGAAGGAGACACATGGTCTGCTGACAACATCATGTAGGCTCTTCTTGATCTGGGATGTTACTGACTGGTACCAACATATAAAAACGTTATTAACCAATTTCAAACTGTGATACTGTTGACATGTAGGAAACAGAGAGCTTGGTATTCCAATGTGGAGGAATCATCATATCAACTGTAAATAACCCTTGGCTGTGGCTGTTTGAGGGGCAGGGGAGAAAGTGCACATTTATGGTGAAACTGCTTAGTCTGGGTTAGAATTAGCATCCTAGAGGGAAATTCATCATGTTTTATCTAGCATAAGAAGGTGTCTTTGCTGTGTTTTAGAACATTTGGGCACCACTGGGTGGCGAACGCTCCCTGCCCCACAAAAGAGGCATTGTGATAAACACTGTCCAGTTTACAACCAAGCTAACTATTTTCTAATTTTGCTGTTAGCAAGACAGTTAGCCTGGCGGGCTATAATGGCAGGCAGGCGCTAGCCATTGTCAGCTAACCTGTCAGCCACAATAACCAGCCCCACCTACTGTGACAGACTCACTGTTTGCCACTGTCCAACACATTTGTGCCCCACATTTTCACAAACCTTTTTTAGATAAAAACAAAAAAAAGCAAAAAATAAATAAATAAATAAAAAGATGTATGACAGTCAGTCATCATGGAAAAACACTAACAATTCACACTTCAGCAAGAGCAAGGGAGGTGAATTACTTTCAGATGAGTACATTTGCCTTATCAAGCAGCACTGGAAGCACCTGTCTGTCTGTCTCTCGCTCTCTCTCTCTCTCTCTCTCTCTCTCTCTCTCTCTCTCTCTCTCTCACCCCAACTGGTCGAGACAGACGACCACCCACCTAGAGCTGAAGGATCTGTCCTAGGTTTCTGCCTTTTAACAGGCAGTTTTTCCTTGCCCTTGTCTCCAAGGTCTTGCTCATGGTGGTGCTGTTGGGTCTCTGTAATTAATGTTATAAAGAGTTCGGTCTAGACCTGCTCTATTTGAAAAGTGTCCTGAGATAACTTCTGCTATGAATTGGCGCTATACAAATAAAATTGAATTGAAAAATTGAATTGAAAATTGAATTTAACTGCCTCCGGTGTGCTCGTCCACTGAAAGCCTTGACAGAGAAAAGTACACATTTTATGATTAAAAAGTCATCTCTGTTCCACTGCTAGTAACACTAACTGCTACTCTCACTGTCAAACATGTCCTGATACAACAAAGCGACAAACTGAGGGGCCTTCTCCTGACCAGTGGCAACCACCAGCTGAATGTTAAAGCCAATGTGACGTAGCCTCTATCCCAGTAGTGACAGTTTCACATTATATTCAATGCATAACAGTAACAGTAGAGAACAACTGATAAACTGTACAATGAACCCAAACAGTGAACACAATAACTGCAGGAAGTTTGTGTTAAAGCAGAGATTTGGATGAATTTCTAGCAGATTGTTTCCTGTTTCTTATTTCAGAGAATATACACATAAACATATATTTATGTTTTAACAATCCTGCAGACTTAATAGGCCTTTTTTTTTTTTTTTTTTTTTTTTTTTTTTTTTTTTTTTTTTTTTTTTTTTTTTTTTTGGGTTTTTTTTGGGGGGTGGGGGGTTTTTTTGGGGGGTTGGGGTTTTTTTGTTTTTTTTTTTTTTTTTTTTTTTTTTTTTTTTTTTTTTTTTTTTTTTTTTTTTTTTTTTTTTTTTTTTTTTTTTTTTTTTTTTTTTTTTTTTTTTTTTTTTTTTTTTTTTTTTTTTTTTTTTTTTTTTTTTTTTTTTTTTTTTTTTTTTTTTTTTTTTTTTTTTTTTTTTTTTTTTTGGGGGGTTTTTTTTTTTTTTTTTTTTTTTTTTTTTTTTTTTTTTTTTTTTTTTTTTTATTAATTAAAAAAAAAATTTTTTTTTTTTTTTTTTTTTTTGGGGTTTTTTTTTTTTTGTTTTTTTTTTTTTTTTTTTGGTTTTTTTTTTATTTTTTTTTTTTTTTTCTTTTTTTTAAAAAATTTTTTTTTTTTTTGTTAAAAGGGTAATTTCAAGACTTTTTTTTCTCCACTTTAATCCCACAAACTTTTTCCCCTTTTTTTTACATTTAATAAAATTCTCCTTTCTGCACAAAAATATAAATAAATCAATATTATAATTTCATTATAGGAATTATATAAAATAATATAAATTTCCCATAATCAACCAATAATTTATCAGCCCCAATAACTATCACAGATTCCTATAAACAAGCAAGACGAGAGGTAAACCTGAAGTCATTCACCAAAAGCTTCCTTTAGAAACCTGACAACATGCCATGTCCACGTTACGTCCATTTCTTTCTCTTTTTCTTTTCAGTTCATTAGATGTGTGTGTTTGTGTTGACTACAGCTCCATGAGGGGCTGCCATGGCTCCACTGCCTCTGAATTATTAATAACCCTGCAGACAGAAACTGTACCTCTCCCAGGTACCAGCCAATTGACTGACAGGCTGAGTAGTTCAAGCTATATACATGCCGATATCAGACCTCCATTGTGAATCACAGTTGGTGTCACACAAAGGTCAGACTGCAGACCGAGCTTTGTCGTCCCCTGAATTTCCTCCATCTGTCTGAATAGTCAATTGAGGGACCGCTGACATGAATTGACTGCAGTGTTACTGTCTGTCATTATGTGGTTTGGTGAAAGGAAAATGATAGGTAGGTTGGTACAAATCAATGAAAGGGAGAATGAGACAGTGAGGGGGGGAAGGAAGAATAAAGTGAGAATACATCTCGTTATGTGTCCTTGAACCGGGGCCGTAGCTGAGAAAACATGCTCATTTGCAGTTCATTACTCGACTCAACAACATGTTTGTGAGTGTGTTTATCTGATGCTTATGTAGAATAAAATGAATTAAACACAAAGACTGATCTTTGCCCCAGTTCATAGTCAAAAGGATTAAAGTTCACTCCCTTAGAAACTGTCTGTCTGCTGGTACGTGTTTACAAGTTTATCAGATTGTATGCCAGGGTCTCTACTGAGAGATGCTTGTGGAACATCAACAAAGCTGCTTCTTATGAAATACATTGGTCGTGCTGAAAATTTAGACATTTGGGGACCGCATAACTGCTCCTGCGCCTTTGTTGTGGATGCAAAATTACTGACATTGCTCTGCTGGGGTTGTCATCTTAGATCTGTCTTTGAAGCAAGACGAGGTAGGTGGATGTGCAAATGGTTAAAGCTGAAGGTTTTTATGCAAAAGCCTATCACCACACACAGAGGCTGCAATAAGATACAGTCTTATTTAAAGGTCCAGTGTGTAACATTTAGGAGGACCCATTCTGAAGCTGAAGTCAGAGAACTTTGAAATGTTTTTCTTGACTTACATTTAATTAATTGATTTAATAATTTGACTAATCGATTCCTCGTTGCAGCTCGAGGTCAAACCTAGAAATGTACTTAAAGTATGAAAGTTATTCAGAGAAGGTTTATATTATTAGAAACAACACTGGATTATTACTGTTGATACATTAAGTATCATTTTAATGATGCAGCTGGTTGAGCTGGAGCAGATTTTCACAACTCTATATAGTGTTGGACATTTTTTTCTATAACAATGCATCATATTTAATATAATAATGGGTTTTGTATGACCTTTATTATTTGTAAAGAAACTATAGCTGACAAATAAATGTAGTGGAAGAAGAAGAAGTCAAAGGTAGCATAAAATAGAAAAACTCCAGGAAAGTATACGTACCTCAAAACTGTACTTAAAGGTGCCGTGAGTGATATTGGTTTTGTTAAAATAAGTGTTAAATAGCTCTACATTGTGACAGCCGTCACTGATATAGAAAGATCAGTCAGTAACATAGTCTCCCAGTCCCTCCTTCCTGCAGTAAACAGAGAATACACTTCCTGGTATCCTGTTCCCACTTTATCCAATCAGGAGAGAGAACTCCACAAAGAGGCGGTCCTCAGCGGCAGGCAGCAGAATTTAATGCAGATTTCAGCTACAGCACGTAGCTGTAAAGTAGCTCTTGAGTAAGCACGCTACTTTCCACTGCTACAGCACTGTGTGGGTGAAAAAAGTGTGTACTAACCAATATCCCAGGATCCAGGACTTTCGATCTCCTTGCGGCCAATGAAGTACCAGACACAGGCCATCCAGTGGGCCAGCAAGGCGAACATGGACATGAGCAGAGTAAGAACCACAGCGCTGTACTGGGAGTATCGCTCCAGCTTCTGCAGCAGCCGCAGTAACCGGAGCAGCCGAACCGTCTTCAGCAGGTGGACCCCAAAGTACTGCACAGATAGATACACACCACATCAGGTCACACACACACACACACACACACACACACACACACACACACAGTGTCAACCTTAAGCCTTTCTTAAATATAAAGGGACCCTTCTGCATACCTATATTATTAGTAGTATTAAAGGTTACATGTATGAAACATTATACCAACTATTTCTATTCTCTACTCTATTCTATTTGTCTGGTCTAGCCGAATGTGCATGTTAGTGCATGTGTGAATCTCTGCAGGGATCCTTCCCATAATGTTGTCAGACACTTAACAATCTAAGTCTGTCAGCTGTTGCAGACCTTTTCACAAATCTTTTCTCATCTAATTGATTTATTTGGACCGAGCCAGCGTTGGTGTTTGTTGGAAAGACTAACAAAGATGGTTTTTGTGACTTTTATTTTGTTTGAGTCCAGTTCAAAGTGTGTTCTACAATAAAATACAGGATAAAATTGCTAGTTTTGTCAATGGAGTCTGGTAGGCCAATTGCCAAATTTTTGGTCTGAGACACTGTTCTCCGTGACACTCTTGTGTGACATCTAGTAGCAGTGAATTACGTGTATATATAACCTTTAAAACAGGACAATTTCTTTCATCATCAAGTGTGCTTAATAATTTGTACGTGAAAATGACAGTTTCATTCAAAAGAGGGATCTTCAATTTATACCTCATATGAAATTAAACGTTTTTCACTCACTCCAAATTAGAATTTAAGAATGAGTCTGAATACTCATTTTGCATTCATGTGTAGTAATTTACCCTGCAGTTCGAAGCATCTTTTAGGATTCAGAGCATGGAAGAACAAATTAATGAGACCTGCAGGATGTGCTCTAACATCAGACTGGCTCTGTGCCATCATCTGATGAGCCTCAGTTTGGATGAAATGTTGATCTAATCAATTCACAAGGGAGCCTACGACATTAGGCTTTAATTCTCTCTTTCTCCAAATTTGGCTGGTTGCCATCGGTGTGTTAGTGTGAATGATGAATGCATGAGTGTATGTCCACATTTAAGTGCTTTTCTTTCCTAGAACAAAAAAGTGCATCAAGTGGGCTGATTTGTCACACACTTTGTCAATCTGTCACACACTGTTTGCTGTCTTTGTTCTTTGTTAATGTAAACACACAAATGTCCACAGATGGACGCACAGAGGAGACTCACCACGCTGACGTTGAAAGCATACAGCAGGTCAAAGGGCAGGGCGGCAATGAGATCGACAAAGAGCCAAGTGGTGACGTAGTGAACACAGATGGAGCGGGCGTCGTACACTACCTGACCCGACGTGCTCACAAAAGTAGTTCGAAAGTTCAGCAGTATGTCTGCAGAGGACGACAACAACAGCGGAAGCTGACAGCAGGAACTACCAACAGGATAGTACAGGCGTAACTGTCACTAGAGCTGCACGATATGGTAAAAACATCATACTGTGATTATTCTGACATTATTCTAGTGTTTCTTGTGATATGATTCACAATCAAAGTTTGAATTTTCACTGAAAAAAACTATTAAAATCATGATGATGTGACATTTGTTGGGGTCTGTACCAAACAACAGATTTTTAAATGTGATGAAAATGATTTGTAGGCCAAGGAATCTCTTCAGAGCAACAGTACTTATTATAATGCTGTTTGTCACACATTTTAACTTTAACATTGCAGCTTCTGCAATTTGCATATTACACTTGGCCAGACTGTGATTTCGGGAATATTTTGAGTAATTGTGCAGCTCTAACTGTTACATAAAAATCACACAATAATGAACAACATACACAGCAATGGTTATTCAGTGAATCACATGTAAGTCACTTTGATCATGATGACAGAAAAAGAGATGTCAGCAACTCATGAACTAAGATCAACAGCTATGAATTTGTGTACTTGAAGCCCCTACAAAGAACTTTCAGTTTTGTGCAGGGCGGCCCCTGTGGACATAAGTGGTAGTGTTTCTACCGCATCATTGATTTTAAGGGGAATCCGACCCGGTGGCGGGCATTGATAATAACTTTATAGAAATATCCAATCTTCCCTCTGATCAGGGTTTCCTGCAGCACTTTGCAGCTAAGGCGGCCGCCTTAGCAACACACGCCTGCCGCCTTGACTACGTTTTCAAAAAAAATAATAGATAGAGTATGTCCGGGAACTTGAAGTTGTAAAACTGGTCACAGGAAGAAAAAGAGAAAAAAAAAAAAGGCAGAGCAAAGAGAAATGTTATACTAAAAGCCTCTATGTAGTCAGGCACATTGGTTTAAAGCACTTATCAGATCGGACATCTCAGGGACTTTATAGGAATAGGAATTTATAGGTTAATTTATTGCCTTCCAGGGAGCCACTCCATTGTTTGTGTGATATAATATGAAAAATAGATAAATACTAAAATATCCCCTGCAGACATGTTTTATGACACAAAAATCTATCTACTTTGAGTCTCATATAGTTTTTCCACAGAGAAGTTCAATTACCTTCTCCCTCACTGAAAAATTCAGACTCTATGAATATGCAAATATGATTCAATCCAAACATTTAACGGCAGGACACAAGATGTCTTCTACTAAACTGAAGTCCTTTCTCAGTGTATGAGACCTGGAGGTTTCAAGTTTCCACATCACACTGGTCCAAGTTGCATACTGGACCAGGATTTGTGTCCAAACTAGCTGTGAGGTCTCAAAATTGCTGCTCATACATACATGTGTTAAACTGAGATTTAAAGGGCCAGTGTGTAGGATTTTGCACCATCTAGCTGTGAACTTTCAGATTACAAGTAACTGAACACTACTCACGTCTGTATTTGCCGACCAAGGAATGAGAACGGGTTGTGAAGTGTGTAGAAGAAACCACGGTGGCCGCAAAACTCGCCGAAAAACACGAAAGTCCCTATCTAGAACCAGTGTTTGGTTTGTCTGTTTTGGGCTACTGTAGAAACATGGCGGTTTAACATGGCTGACTCTGTTTAAGGCAACCCACAACGTCTGTAGATAAAAACTCATTGCTGATATTATTGTTATTGTTATTATTATTATTATTATTATAGTTACTATTATTACTATTATTATGGTTCATCATCCCCTCCCGGTATGGCTATTGTCGTTGTTATGATCTTCGTCATGTTCTTCATCATCATCCTCATCATCAGTCATTTCTATTAGTGTAGTTGTTGCTACTGTTGTTGCTGTGCACCTTTGTCTCTGTCTCTGTCCTTCTCGCTTTACCATCTACCCCACCCCCCCACCCCCTCTAATCGAGGCAAACTTTCCTCCTTCAGCAGATGAAAGTGTCAAACTCTGCAATGTGTAGCTCAAACATCCAAGTCAAGGAAAATTAAAAGTTGTTTAAGATATGCACCAAGTTTCAAACATTTAAAAGACTTAAAGGCAGAGACAGTTTTAAAAGTTTTTGTTTGCTCACTGGTTTTGGTCACTGGACTTTTAGGGCTCCTTGTCTTGACACATAGCTCATAAATGCAATGTTTTTCAGCAATTAAACTTTCAATGTTCATCCTTGAAAGCTCCAATGATTTTCAAAATGGTCTTTGTTCACATCTGTCTAATACGCAACAATAATTTCCTATTGGCAGAAGAATGATGGTGACAAAACTTTGATGAATTACTCATCTTAAGCAGGTTTCATGTCTCATATAGTGGATGCAATTTGATGGCTAAAACATGACAAAACCTCCAGTATGACTCTTCAGTTAACTCACTATTCCAATAGGAGTCTTTAGGATGCAGTTAATTCTTGAAAAGGAGCTTATTAACAGAAACAAAGGAATAAACAGAAGCCTGATTTCAACATTTCAATCCAGCACTGTCTGCTGAGTGAATGCATTGATAAACAGGCTGGCCTATTAGTTCTAACAAATGGGATATCGACTGACAGGAGTCAGCCATTTAACTGCGGGCGGCTCATATAATTTCATTGCAGAAGTTTATCGATGGAGGGCTTGTGTTCACTCTTTTCCATTAAGGCAAAATGTCCATTGAAGAGCACTCATACAACTTCCCTTCAGCTAGATGGACAAGACTGGGGACAAAGAGGCCTGTTGTTTCCTAGAAAATGAGTTAGCAATAAGACGTAATGGTCCACTGCGAATGGCTCATATGCTTTCACTGCTGCACATGCATCATTAAAAACCTCGACAAAACTTTTATTATGACTGATAAGCCTCAGATTCAGGCTGTTTTACTGACCTCGCATCAGGGGCGGTTAACGCAATGACAAACAAATAGTCAATCTTGACAATAATCAAGTCGTGTTAATTATTGAAGCTGGCACTGGAAAAAGAAAGTACTAATCAAGCAAGTGTTAACATCAGCTTGAATGTGTGCTCAGGTGTGTGTTTGTCATGAAAGGAATTCATTTGGCTGGAAATGTTAGCCAAAGGAGCAGCTTGTAAAGTGAATCACGGCATGCTCTCTCACCTAAAATAAACAGGATCTCTACGAGGATGTCACTGACGCTGGGCGGGCTCCGCGGGGCACTGCTGCTGCCTTCATCCCGCCCTCCCACCACCGTGAAGCATACGTTGTAGGGCACGGTGACGGCCACGTAGAAGGTCGCCAGCAGGATCAGCCAATCCCAGCCGGCCTTGAAGGTTCCGTAGTGGAGCAGTATGAAGCGGGATTTCTGAATAGCTGCTACCTTGTACTCTGGGATCGGAGGCTTCTCCCCGAACATGTTCTGGATCGGATGACAGGGAGAAGTAGGGTTAACACTGCTCTCTCTTACTCGTGTTCCAGGTTTTCACTTTTTATTCTTTTTCTACCTCTACCCACACACACTCCTGCATACAATATCATTCCTAGGCACCAACTTACTGAACCTCTTCAAGCTCATGTTGTGGAGACAGGTATTATGAAAACCCACAGAAGAGTAATATAAATTGCCAACAGAAAGTACTAGTGCTGCACTGCATGTCAGGTTGAATTACAGTTTGTATTAAATCTATATCAGATGATTCACAGGAGATTTTCCATTTGATGTGAAAGTGTAGCCATAAAAACTCATTTTAAGATTGTATTAAGTGACAGAAAAAGCAGACAGAAAAATGATGCTGAATACTGTGGAAAATATTTTTCATAACAAGAGCAATGTGCAAAATATTTGGTAACACTTTATAATGAGTACACACTATTAAGCATTAGTTAAGCATGAATAAATACTGAATTCATCATTTATAAAGCATGAATACACATTAGTATGTAGTTTATAAACACAGTTAAAAATGTTTTATTCATCATTGATAAGCACATTAGTTATGGATTAGTAAATACTGAATTCATCATTTATAAAGCATGATTCTGCTGTAAATAGTCATTACTGTGTGGTTTATAATCACAGTTATAAATGTTTTACTCTTCATTGTGCTGTACATTTCTGCATGCACTTGCACATCCACTATTCAGACATGTATTAATGATTAGTGACTGTGTTAGCAGATGTTCTATAAAACTCACAACAAATTCATTTTCTACTGATGGCCTATAAACAGTTATTAATTCAGGAATTCACAGTTACAAAGCACTTACTACTCGTTAATTAAGTATTTTGCACGAGCTTATCTAAAGTGAGCACTATCTATGGCTTATTAAGCATTTACAAATGAGATATAAAGGCTGACAATGCCTCGAGACTCACAAAATGTTCAGTTATCTTAACAGACGAAGGAAGACACAACACAAAGGGATATAGAACATATTGTATTGATATTTACTGCAACTTCCCAACATATTGTATGAAGACGAACAAGGGTGGTTTATGAAGACATGCTATTGTTGTGATCTTATCTGTTTGGGACGTGTACGTTGAGCTCCCGCTCTCAGCACAATTGAGTCGGCGGCCACCAACTCCAATGTGCTTCTCCATGCTCCCCTTGGCTGCACTGTCAGAAACTTCTGAGAGTTAACGTAAATATGACGTAACATCCCGCTCTCAGCACGTCATCAACGTGATGACGTGCTGAGAGCCCAACGTACACGTCCCAAACAGATAAGATCACAACAATAGCATGTCTTCATAAACCACCCTTGTTCGTCTTCATACAATATGTTGGGAAGTTGCAGTAAATATCAATACAATATGTTCTATATCCCTTTGTGTTGTGTCTCTCCTTCGTCTGTTAAGATAACTGAACATTTTGTGAGTCTCGAGGCATTGTCAGCCTTTATATCTCATTTGTAAATGCTTAATAAGCCATAGATAGTGCTCACTTTAGATAAGCTCGTGCAAAATACTTAATTAACGAGTAGTAAGTGCTTTGTAACTGTGAATTCCTGCATTAATAACTGTTTATAGGCCATCAGTAGAAAATGAATTTGTTGTGAGTTTTATAGAACATCTGCTAACACAGTCACTAATCATTAATACATGTCTGAATAGTGGATGTGCAAGTGCATGCAGAAATGTACAGCACAATGAAGAGTAAAACATTTATAACTGTGATTATAAACCACATAGTAATGACTATTTACAGCAGAATCATGCTTTATAAAATATGAATTCAGTATTTACTAATCCATAACTAATGTGCTTATCAATGATGAATAAAACATTTTTAACTGTGTTTATAAACTACATACTAATGTGTATTCATGCTTTATAAATGATGAATTCATTATTTATTCATGCTTAGCTAATGCTTAATAGTGTGTACTCATTATAAAGTGTTACCAAATATTTCCATATTTTCCATGTTAGTTCATTAATGTTTAAACATTCAAAAAATGAACATTATCAATAGAATGTGAAGAGTTATGAGTTTTGACATTATGTCAAAGATGTCTCTGTACTGTGCTACAGAGATATCTACTGAAATAAGCATGCTGATCAGCTAGCAAATATTGGATAGTGAGTCACTGTAGCATCCACTCTGCCCTCAGTTCAACATGAGGAAGAAGAAATGGAGAACCAGGGGGAGTGGAGGGACAGAGCTGCTACTCGCTGACAGCTGCTGAGCTCAGGGGAATTCTCAAGGAGAGATCTGGGGCTACAACTGGAGCTTCCCACACAACAGATTCTGCCCTGATCCGTTTACCAGTGGGAGGAGAGCTCAGAGTTTTTAACTTTTAAGATTAAAAAGTGGATTTATTATTACTCTTGCTTCTCAACCTGTCTGCAGTTGCACTGTTGTTATTGTAGCTGTCTGTGGGCTCCCAGAGCTCTATGGTACTACTTCCTATCTGGACAAAAAGAAGATTTCCTGGAGAAAATTAAGCTAGGAAGTTGGACTACCTGGTAAAGAAGTGAAAATATGTGTAGGTTACATAATTCCAGTTATCAGTTGTACTATGAACTACGTAAGCATACAACCCTGCTCTGTTTGAAAACCTTCTGTTATGAATTGGCGCTATACAAATAAAATTGAATCGAATTGAATTGAAATCACAGCAAAATCAGTTTAAGTTTGGAATGTTAGCTATACATTTCTGAGGACATTGCGTGTCTAACTGTAAACAATTAAACAGTGGGAGAAAATGAAATGCTGCCCCCTATTTGGAGCATGCAGCCAGGAACTACACATTGTACACATTTAAGAAAAACTGGGAACATTAGCTCCAAATGGATAATTAGGTGTTTGCACGTGTACAGTGTTTTCACAGAGAGATATCTGTATTTTATGAAAGGGCCAGTTGAATCTGATTTTCACCTGCATTTTATTTCTTCATTAATCATGAAGTTCTTTTGTTTCCTGTTTTCTTTTTTTAAAAGTATTTTTTGGGGCTTTTTATTGTCTTTATGATAGTGACAGCCAAAGACAGACAGGAAAGGGGGGCAGAGAGAGGGGATGACACGCAGCAAAAGGGCCGTAGGTCAGATTTGAACCCTGGGCCGCTGCAGCAAGGACTCAGCCTCAGTACATGGGACTCCAGCTCTACCCACTGAGCTAACTGGGCACCCCTTGTTTCCTGTTTTCAAAGACTGCTTACCGTAAACAGGGTCTTGACAGGGCAATGATTACCTCAAAAATCTTACATTAATACAAAGGAAAGAGAAAAGTACAGAGGAAACACAAATGAGCTCATTTAAAAAGGTTGAGGCCAAAAAGTTGAACTAGGAAATGTTTGTGCAACATCCTGTATCCTGGATATTTTAATTATTGATTTTTTAAATTCCATTAAAGCAAATTAAAAACAAAATAATGATACCTAAAAAATACATAATCCCTCTATGAATGGCCATCACACTTGCAGGGTGCATACTGCATAGGTCTGCATATTTGTTTTATCACTGACAGCAAAATGCAGAGCTCTTTTACCCCAAAGTAAAAGTGAGCATGTACTCCTGCTGACCTTCATACCATCTGTCAGGGTGTGTGCTGCCCACTGTGCTGCAGCAGACCTACAGTGTGGTGAACACACATAACAATGGACAGCTACAGTGACCATCCTCTTATTATGGCCCTTGAGATCTGTGTGGTGTGTTGGGAGCAGGCGTGGACTAACAATATGCCTGTTCATATGGTAACGTAAATATAAGCCAGACTTTTATAGATCCTAGCCTTCAAGAAACCATGATGCTACTTGGGCAACACAAACTTCATTTGATTGTAAAGCAGGAATTACTTTGTATTCCATCTGGATAAGAGAGTCTTTGAAGAATCTGGAAATGACTTCAAACAGTTTATTGTTAAACAACCTGTAGGGGTTTTTAAAGTTTGGCTTGGACTATATTTATCCTTCAGAAAAAAAGATATTTACCTCTGTGACTTGAATGTAACCATCCGTGCAAAAGTCTCAAAAGTAAAACTAATGATTACATGAGAGGCAGTCTGGGGCTAATCTGGCATGCAATAAATCTTCTGGCAACCAGACATGTTAATACTCCAACAATATTATAAGGAATATAATGAAACTGTGTCCAGTCTTTTAAGTAAGTATAGATGTACCAGTGTAGACAAATGCAGGGAAACTCACATTGTTGATCTTGAGCTTGCTCTTGTCTTGTTTCTGCAGGTGTCCTGACAGGTGATAGAGAACAGCTCTGCTGCGGCGCCGGTTGGCGTTGAATCCTGGAGGCCGAGTTACCTGATGCACCTCCAGACCTGTCTCCTCATCTGTGGAGGAGATGGTACAATGTTGAGCAATAATCAACAACAAGGGGTAAGAGTTTAAACCAAGTTCTGTGTTAACACAAACATACTGACTGAAATGCTGCCATCTTTTTAAGAGTTTTTTAATGATACAATGTGTAATTTCTGCCGCTAAGGGGTCTCTCACATCAAAACAATAACAAAAGATGAAGTGAAGCAGCGTGGGATCATGGGAGTTGTGTTGTCTTCACCGCCAGTGTTGTCACTGCAGTCAGCTTCTCCCGGTTAGGATTCCTTCAGTGGTTTCTACCGGGAGCCCAATGATCCACAGAGGTCTCCTCCTCTCCAAAACAAACCGACCCGCTGATTAAAACCGTTAAAAACACTGAATAAAGCAGTTCCACCTTAAAAATCACTTTAATAGCTCTGAGGCCGTAAAAACATAACCTGTACCACTGTCTTAAACCGTCTTGAAAATCAAACTATACCATGATGCTGTCTCAGGAGAACCCCCTCTCACACACTCACATGGGTCAAACCATCTGTCTTTGTATAACATGAGTGGTCCCAATATGTTAGATCACAACACATTTTTTTGTGTAAATATTTGATCTGATATTGACTTGCTGTCTGCCTATGCGGGCCTTTATTGACTGCACAAGGTGTTCTTTAGGTAGAATATGATTATCTGGGGCTGAGATCCAGATCTCTATTTACAGAACAGAATCAGTAGTAACCTCCAACATCTCACTCATGTCAAGCTTTTTGCCATTTATTGGATAATAAAGGTAAGATCGGGTAAAGTAAAGTAGTCGGCGTGCAGGAAAAAGAAGGAGAAGGACACAAACTGATCATACAGAGGTCGCAGAAATATAGTAGGAAGTTTCAGGGAGTTATTTCCTGTTAGTCATCAAGAGAAAAAATCTTTTCTTGTTCTCTCCATTTCCACTTTACATTTCCTATTATGATTGTTCCTCTGTATGTCCATATTATGATGTAATGCTTGGCAAATACCCACCCCTGTAACCAAATCATTTTCATTTTCAGACAGTAAATTAGATTTGCCCATTGATGATTCACTCAAACAGTTTGCTGGTGTGCTGAAAAACTAGCCGCTGTTGTTGGGACTGGTAGCTCTTCTGTGTATTTTCTGTCTGAGGACAGTGTCATACAGCGTCTGCACCACAATCTGTTTTGACAGATGTGGAAAAGAGATATGCTGGTTGTGTAGAAGTGTGAATCTGGCAAAGATAAAAGTTTTTCTGCATGTCTACATTCAAGCAGTCTTGTAAAAAGAGGAAGGGGCTTGATTCAAGGTCAGTGGAGGCTGATAGAACATCTGATGATAGAAATTCCTGGCTGAATTTATCCAAGTGAACTGCTGCTTCATAGAAACAAGTGCACCTTCAGTGATGACTCACCCCACTCAACTCTGTGTCAGCTTTTTCTGTCTTATCAAATCAAACTGCCTTTTTCTCCATAAATGGCAGCTCATTGCTTTACACTTGAGACTGACCCCTCGCTGACCCGTTTCAATGGGAAATACATCACATTAAAGGGATCTTTTAATGACCAGTATATGACTGCAGCAAGCACAATGCATATGGTCTATTGTTTTAAGACATACTTGAGAAATTGTGAACCTATCCTTTATGGAAAGGTTCTGTTTAATTGGAATATAAAATCCATAGGTATGTTTTCATTAGTGTATAATCACCTGAAAATAAGAATTGTCTTCTGGGTGAGCTTCCGGGATGCCCCGAACTACCATGATTCTACCTAGAGCCATGGCTCTAGACAGGGCCTTTTGCTTTTTTCGCCAGTTTCAGGGCCACCGTAGTTTCCCCCACAATGAGCTGAATTAAAATGGCTGCAATCTGCAGCTTTGTCACTAAATGCCACTGAATCCTACACACTGGTCCTTTAAAGGCATACTATGCAGTTTTCCGGTTTTGTCAAACAGCTACCCCTAGAGTCGCTGCGGAGTACTTGTAGTGATGGTGCGATCCATTTGTCTCGTAAGTCCCCCGGCCGAGTTGGAAAGTGTAAATCTCGTAGCTATTTCGCGACACAATCCCTTTTGGTCGTAATTTCAGCCGTCCCACTCGGGGTTCCTCAGAGTATACCGAGCTGAACGAGGGTGAACGTACGACTCGCAAAACAAAGATGGCTGCGGCCATATTGAGATGTATTTTCTTTGTATTTGTACTACGTTGGTCGTTTTAATGTCGATTTTAAATGTTCCTACACACTTGTTTACATTGCTGCTTTAGTCCGGTCACCAATTTATGCATTGCACGGTGTTGCTGTGCGTGCAATACAATGTAAAGTTTTGTTTCTGAGCTGGTTTGCTAAACAGGCTAATGTAGCTAACAATAACACTAGCCTGCCACTGCCGCTGGTGGCCCCTGGTGGCCCCTGGTGGCTCGAGACAAACGCCACAGCACTTGTTGAAACTGAAATAGGCGAAAATGGCAAAATATTATTGAAATGTAAGACTTGCAATAACGGAATTACTTGAAATGTTAGTGTTTCTGTAGAAAAACACATTAGTATTTCACATTGAGCTTGTTTAGATGATCCACAAGCAATAACAAGACAGCTGCTGCACTGGTGGTGTCCATGTTCTTTCCGACTCGTAATGCCCAAAGTCAAATGGAACGCTATAAGTGGTACAAGCCAGGCAATTACGTCACATTCTCGCGGCAGAGCAACTCGGGCGGGGGATTTACGAGACAAATGGATAGCACCATTAACGTTAACTGTCGTAAATTCCACTCACCAGAGCTGTCTCTATATACGGCTCTGCGTCTCTGCACTCACGAATGGATCCCCTCCCCCCTGTATACCGGTACATGTTCAGTAGGATGGAAGCGTCGGACAAAACCTAGCCAGACCAGACAACTTGAGCCCATAACATTTTTGGTAAAAATGTGAATATTATGGTATAATCAGTGTTTGTCACATTACATTTGTCTGTAACACAGTAATGTAACACATTACTGTTCCTACTGTAAATCAGTAATTACATTACAGTTACTAATCAAACAATTATCTCTTTACTTGCATTACATACGTTCTTTAATTAGCTGCATAATAGGTGGACATTAAGAAAATAAAACGTGCCTTTTCATGCACGTCTGAGCAACAATCATCTGCATGACTTTTTTGCTTTTGACGAGGAGGATACATCTTCCTTCAACTCTGAAGGAAGGAACACTGACGTCATTAAAATCAGGGTCAAAGATGGAGATCCATCCATGAATGTTTCCCTACAATATCCACGAAATTCAACGCTTCAGTTCACTCAATCTACATCCAGTGAGTCACACTACAGCATACTTGTCAGCAACCTGGTCCACACATAATTTTTTACATTTAAGTAATTATATTATTTTAAATCTTTAGATTAATTTTACGTTAAAATAAAAATACTAAATAAAAAATATTTTTGATTGGCTCCTAATGTGGACAGACATCACAAAGACCAGGAAAAGAGTGACAAATATATTTTATTACTTATTGTCGAAGCTCTTGTCTCAAGTGTAGTATGGAAGACGGACACAAAACTATTGATTGCATATATATGGAACTGGCTGGCCTCGTCTAACCGTCTCCTAAAAGAGAACACTATTGGGTGAGATCAATTAGCTAAATGCTAGCTGATGTCCTTTGCTTGTTAATAAAAGCTCATGGGCACGCTGTGGCTCAGAGGCAGAGCGGGTTGTCCACTAATTGGAAGGTTGTTGGTTCGATCCCCGGCTCCTCTTGCTGCATGTCGAAGGGTCCTTGAGCAAGACACTGAACCCAAAATTGCTCCTGATGCTGTGCATCGCTGTGTGAGTGTGTATGAATGATTAGTTTCCGTTCTGGTGAGCAGTTGGCACCTTGCATGGCAGCCACTGCCATCAGTGTATGAATGTGTGTGTGAATGGGGTGAGTGTGGCATGTAGTGTACAGTGCTTTGAGTGGTTGAAAGCCTAGAAAGGTGCTATGTCCATTTACACGGACCCCGAGACACCTGCATCAGGCTTCAGAATATCACAGGAACCATGTTCTATGCTTCAGCACCACCAGTCTACTAACTACATATGTAACTACATATGTGCAGGGTCTACCGGGGCTTTCTTTATGCATGTCATTTTTTACGTATACAAACAAGTGGTGAATGGTAAATGGACCTGTATAGCGCCGTCTTCTGACCACTCAAAGCATTCACTCAGTGATGGCAAAGCCCATCAAACAGAAACTAACGCATTCATACACATTCACGGCATTGGGAGCAATATCTTGCTCATATGGTGCTCATCATCACCAGGAGCCGGGGATTGAACCAACAACCTTCCGATTAGGGGACGACCCACTCTGCCTCTGCGCCACAGCACAACCAGATTGCCCAAACATGTGTGCTGTTATTCCCACATGAATGACATTATGGTTTGCCCATCCAGGACAGCTAACACTTTTACCTTCAATGTCAGTACACTGTATAAAGTAGATTGCTTGATACCTCTATCAATACTCCAGGATATTACTGTTCCACCCAAGAAACAGTTTGGCCCATAATCCACAAATGGCAAATCTTCCCTCTCCAGTCTTTGTGCTAAGCTAAACTAATTGGCTGCTGCTACATATTTAGCATACAGACGTGGCAGTGACAATGATTCTTATCTAACTTGCGATTCTCATCTTTCCAAATTGTCATCAGCAATTCCTGTGTCTCCTGGAGACACAGGAAGGTGAGGTCCAACTAGCTCTAAAGCTGTTCAACCAAATTCACAATTAGAGATGGGTGCTGAATCTGTGTATCGTTTGTTAATTGATTTTTCCATTTCAAAACTGATTTGGAAAAACAGAAAAACACGTTTTTTTGTTTTTTCTGTTAGAGTTTTAAAACAGTTCTTCATTTTTCTAATTCAGAACAAACAAAACACAGAATGAGCTCTCCATTTTTACTTTAACTGCTCAACATGCAGTTGATATTGGCAGATTGGGAAATGCAATGCAAAGAAGGAGAAGGTATTTACACACCTGAGGGTAGATTCTTCTTATTAAGCTGTGATTACTGACAGATCATACAGTATGTTCTCTGGGGGAGCCTGTGTGTGCTAGTGGCTAATGGGCTGGCTATACATTTTGAATTATTAATACAGTCAATTAACACAGTGTGCATCTGTGTGTGAGGAAGCTGGGGCACATACCAGCGTGTGATTGCACGTTTTTAGGAAAGTACTGTTGTTAGTGTTAAGGAGTATAAAGCTTTGTATATTCAGTCTTTCTTTGATCTTTTTCATCTTAAATGTGTTTCCAGCATTTTTTTCTCCTTCTCACTCATCTTCCATCTCCTTAACTGCTTCTAGGTTTTGAAAAGGCACATCACGCTGAGCTAAGTGCCAAAGTGAGGAGCTGAGGAACAGAAGCAGGTAAATGTGATTGTTTGTGTCAACTCATTACATCATAAATGTCAAAGCCTTTCCTTTCATTCATTTTCTGGTTGGTTGTCACCCCCCCCCCTTCATTTTCTTCTGACAACCTAAATGTTATGCTAATGGTTATGGTCTTTCCCAGTGATGAATCAGATAATAGAAAGAATTTAAATTCTCTTTTGTCTCTCTCTCTCGCCTTCCCTTTCTGTCTGTTTTGTTGTTTGTCCTGTCCCCTGTGGTGTCTACTGCACTCCTAATTTGCTAGCTTGAATTTAAAATGTAATAACTCATGTGGCATGTAAAACACAGCCGGAGTGTATGGAAGCTGGATTCAATCATTTCGGCGGAAAGGCAATGAGATATTCAGCCAAATGAGAGAGCATGGCCAATTGGGGGAAAATTGGCTAAGTGATTTCAAGCAGGTGCTCTTTCCCACCAGGAAGCACTACAGACAAACTCTGACAGTCAATCTAAAAAAAATACAATTTTAAACACTCCACTTCATCTTAAGAGTCTTGATTACTCTGCTTCTCTCCTCATCTCTCTCCAGGCTCGGTATTGAACTCTAAAATCCTCTGTAGTGAACTCGACAGGATCCGGAAGTTTAAAAGTAAAATCTGAACGTCTGTAATAACTGTATATTCAATGTTTGCAGTGTAATGTCTGCAGGATTACAAAATATTTTTGAATGCACACTGTACAGTGATTTTAGACATTCCCATCACAGACTTAACACACACTTTTAAGATTTTCAATCTGCTCTTTTTTTACAAAAACAAACAGTTCGACATGCCCCAAACAACTCCGGACAGGATGTGATGGAGCATCAATAATGTGTCACATTTAACTAATAACATATGTTTTTATTGCTTGGATGTTATTGGTGAACTGTCTTTTAGGCCACAGACAAAGCAATGAAGGGGAATTGCCCTGGCCTGGGGCTTACTCTATAAATCCTACAGATGCAGCATATAATGTGATAACAACATAACATTAAACATTAAACGTCAGTAAGCTAATGTTACAATTAACTGTTAAAGATGAGCTTTTATCTATACTGTAGACTGCAGTATGGGGTTTAGGCAAACAATTCATGACATTGCACTTTATGTAATGTCAATGAGGTTGTAGATTTTAGGTAATTCAGCATTTCTTTCACACCAAACACACAACAAAAAAATAATAGTTAACTATTTTTTTATCTGAAAACCATTATTTGGCACTACTTAAAGGTTATATTTGTAAGATTTAAAACATTAATATAGCAGCAAACAACTGTTAGCTTTGTAACAATATAGTGGAGTCATGGAGTCCTGGACAGAGAATATATATATAGATATACATATTCTTTCAAGTCAGTGACCATTTTCAAATCTGGAAAAATTAAAAAGGTTAAAAAATGTAAAATAAAGACCAGTAACAGAGGTGATGCATCACACATTTGTAGACCCTACTTTTTCCCCAGTAGCTTGCAAACACAGGCTCCACAAAGGGCTTTGTCACCTGAATGGAGATGTAGAAGATGCTATCATTCTTCTTGGGAGGACAGCCTTACTAAGATTGTTGATCAGTTTTTGGAGACATAAGAATATTTTGAGATCAATCCATTGACAAGATGCATTTTTATTTCCTCTTTACATCAGTAACTGTGTACCAAAAAAGATGTCAGTGGAGTTTTCACATTTCCCTGCCAGCAATTAAGTCCTGACTGTCTCTAATTAACTCACAAATCCTGCCTGATAATTTCAGTTGTGACCTCCCCCATCAAGTAACTGCATTATCATATTCTGTGACAGAATGTTTATGGTTCACCATGTGCATTTGATAGAGGCAGTCATTAATATTCATGTAGCTAATATTCAAATTGACAAGCACTTATTTAATCAGGGTGAGATTTACACTCAGGAAAAGACGCAGGATGAAAAAATGGATGAAAATTATTAATTGATGCTTAATTGTTGTTTGCTTGACATTACAATAACTGCAGTGGCACAGCTGAGAGGCAAAACATTGTGCATGTTGTTGCACTCTCCAGTGTTAAAGGGTAATTATGTTCAAACTATACAGCCAAGAAAACAGAGGTTTCATAGAAGATTCTGGGGAAGCCTTTTTTTTTATTGAAATCATGAAAACAACCCTGACTACAAAATGTAAAAAAAAATAGAAAACATAGTGTGATATGTTGTGTCATAGCATAACACATGATCTCCAACCAACCCATTCACACTCCAAAGTTGTCAAATCTTGGCCAGTAGCTCTCCCCTTACTTACTTAAGTACTTTATTTTTCTGTTTTCTGTGGGATTTTTGTGTGATTTGTATATTTGTATATTTATATAATTGTATTGTATATTTTATGCACCAATTGCACCAGGACACATTCCTCGTAGGTGTAAAAACCTACTTGGCAATAAACCTAATTCTGATTCTGATTCTTCAAAATATGACGCTGTAGGTATCCCTCTAGCGTCATTTGTTGAACTCCGATCATGTCATAACAAGGACGTTGGGTCACAAAAACTAAGACGTTAAAATGTTCACTGATGATTACTGTGGGATGCAGTTGAAAGCTCCAGCGAAAGTTAGTAAGTAGTAACTGATTTAAGATTACATCATCAAATTAGGAATAATGAGAAAGAGAACAGCTCACCAAAAACAGGTGACCCAGACTCCTAGATACAAGTCAGTGTTTTATGTGTTTGAGGACAAGTTGGAGTCATACTTTACCATTATCAGAACTGTAAGAAGGTTTCATTTACATTAACTCACCTGTGTCAGGTCCTTGTTCAGGATCCTGGTCCTTCTTCTTGTCGGTGATGTCTTTGTGGGACACAAGGAACAAAACCACCTCACCCTTTTCATTTTTAATGGGTACAATGTCCAGAAGACACCAGAACTGTGTACCTGGAGAGAAGACAAATGCAAACATATACAGTCAATAAATCTTCTCTTCTTCTCATTAGATATTCTGTACAGTGTGCAGTGTAAGACTAATGACTGTATGAGTTTCAAATTATTTTAATTGTTGTTATTTTCCAATTAGTGGGAGAGAGAAAGTCAAGTTAACCAGTCACACACCTCTGATACGTCAACCGTAAATTAAGTGACAAATAATATTTACAAGTACTACTAATAATAAGTAATTACTGTCCTGTACTCTTCACAACACACACAGTGAGAGGGGATACACTTGTATAAACATATTATTTTTTTAACTTATGACAAAATACCTATAAAACCATTGACACAGCCACCAGCCTAAGCTGTAATTAACAATAGTGTGTTTGTAATGTGCAAATGTTAGCATGCTAATATGCTAAACTATCTAACTTAAAAATGTGACTATATATGTTGCTTTTATCTTTAAACCATCTTCAGAACGTGGTTGTCTTTTCAGCATAGCCCAGAACATCTAAGTACAGAAGAGGAGAAAGCTAACGGAGGTTCTGACTGAGGCTTGCTAAACTGTTATTGGAGCACAGAGTTTATTGATTTAGGAAGGGTCAATTATCCAATCACAGCCTACCAACTAAAGTTAGGCATGGCAGGTCTATGAAGCTTTCTCAACATGTTGGAGTTGTGTGTATCAATTATACATTTTTGGTAACAGGGCTGACAAAATGAGCTTGTCTCCCTCTGTGAAACATTACATAACTCAAAGAAAATTCATTAATAGGAGAGTACATTTACTTATGTGTATGTATTTTCAACATCAACTTCATACAAGGCAGCAATGACGTAACTTTTGGAATAGTCCATTATCTCTCAAGGGGTGTTTTCATTCAAAGTAACAGGGTTGACAACAACCTGGGAACTCATTCATGAGTAATGAAATTACACTACAGGCATTATATACATTCATATTCTTACATGATAGTTGAACTTTTTTGTCCTCAATAGCTAGTAAAAGTAGAAAAAACTAGAGAAATCCTGAGGAACAGGCCATTTTTATATTTATGCTCGGCACAAAAAAGTTGGGGACTTTTAAAAAACATTTGGTTTTACGAGACATATCTTGGAAACTAAATTACATAAAATGTTTCATTGTTTATTCAGATTTACAGAGCAGTTTTGTGGCACACAAAATGGTTTTTGTATAACCACCCATATGTATGTCAGCAGGCTAAATCAAGACAATAAAACACCCCAGGAAGATCTGCAATTTAGAAGCTGAATACTAATTGGAACGTTATGTGCTATCACCTCTACATGTTCACATGTTCACATTTTGTACAATTAATTTAGTGTCAGTCCAAAACACACAACATGCTTCAGATTAGATGCTCAGAAGTGAGTGCAATGAAAGTTAATCAACATAAGAAATGTAAAGATGGGAATGAATGAATTGGCTTCTTTTTCACAATATCCTTGCATCCTATGTTCACCCATCTAATACTGATTGCCTTAATAAGGTTTTAAAGTATTGGTTTCTCATAAAATGTGTACATCGGTGATGACATCATTCATGAAAGAAGTCATTTGCCTTGACCAATTGAGAGGGCATTATGTTGGCACATCGTTTAAGCCATCTGTCTTTGTGGTGATATTACTAAGAAGTGTCTGCAATGATCAGTGTTAGTGTTTTAATGCAGTTGTGTTCATTAAGGTTAAACTTGTACATGCGCATTACCGCCACAAGTTAAACCACTGGAGGTTAAGTTTGTTGGGGACTTTTTTCAGCTGTGGATTAAGACACAATGTGATTCACTAGTGATATGTGGCTGACAAATGAAGCTAACGCAGTAGTACCAAACACTGCGGTTTCTCTAACGGCCACTTGAGGCTGGCTCCAGCAGTGAGTCAGTCTCCATCAGACCCCATATTAAAATGCCCAACTTTACAGCAGAGAACTGAAGAAGAACATGTCAGCCAGTGCAACTATGTGGCTCACTCATGTGTTTTTAATAGTTTTTGGACATCAACCTGGCTCTATGGCAAAGAGGAATAAGATATATCAGGATTTGGCTACACAGACAGTACTTGTGATAACTATCAATTTATATCTGGTTTTGGTTTGATTTGGTTTTCATGGAATGGACAAGTAACCCCTGCTGGCTGGTGCATAAATGCATTCAAATCAGGCTAAAACAAGATGTTTTGTTTCTGTTACTCAAGGCAAAAGGACAAATGTCACAAACTCACAATAATATTTACAGTGCCTCTTTTTTGAAATATTTACTCATGAAAATGTACCTGTTGTAAGTATAATAACCATTATATTTCACTTATTACCTAGAAAGTATATATTACAAGTGAATGCACTTCTGTATGTTTGTAGTTCAGTCTTTAATTATCAAACATTACTGTGTACTTTTTTAGAAGATTGGTAGATTAACTTTTTATTAATCAATTTTGTTTACACAGACATGGCGGCTGTGGCTCAGAAGCAGAGCGGGTCGTTCCTTAATTGGAAGGTTGTGGGTTTGATCCCCAGCTCCTGGTGCCACATGTCGAAGTATCCTTGAGCAAGATACTGAACCCCAAATTGCTCCCGATGCCGTGCATCGGTGTGTGAATGTGTATGAATGTTAGTTTCTGTTCGATGGACTTTGCCATCACTGAGTGAATGTGTGTGAAAGGGTGAATGTGGCACGTAGTGTAAAACACTTTGAGTGGTCGGAAGACTAGAAAGGAGCTATACAAGTACAGGTCCATTTACCATTTACCATTTACATGCAAATCTAGAGAGATGGTGGAGTGATGTGCTGCCCAGGGAGCAGGTAGGGGTGTGGTGCCTTGCTCAAGGGCACCTCAGCACTGCCCAGGAGGAGAACTGGCACCTCTCCAGCTACCAGTCCACACTCCATACTGTGATCCATGGTGGACTGAAATCATGTTGATATGAATATGTTATGAGTATGTATTGCAAAATACAGTTTTAGAATTGTGCCCCAGGCTTTGGTAAGGGAGCTATGGTGATCTGAGTCAGGGAACTGGATATAAATGTGTTTATTCTTTTCCTTGCTCCCCTAGAGTACAGCTAAAATGCTAATGTGAGCTCGTGGAGAGCTGATAAAAGCATGAAACACTTTTAATTTGTTATTTGTGTGTTTGAGAGAAACAAGCTTGTATAACCCTCTGTTGCTCTTTGTTATAGGCTTATATCTCAGAGGAGCAGATGTGTCCAAGTCTCCCACTGTCTCTCTTCCATCTATACGTGACTCTCACTTTTATTTTTCATTTGTGGAATGAGCCGTTGCGTCTTGTCTTTACCTCCTCGGTTTCTCCCCTTTCTGCCTTTCATCACAAATCACAACTTTGATTTATATATAATGAATAAATAGTGGAGTCTTTCACAACCATCCTCTCCCTCAAGATTTTTCTTTCTCTCTCTCTCTCTCTCTCTCTCTCTCTCTCTCTCTCTCTTTCTCTCACTCTCTCATCTCTTCCTTCAGCTAACTAAAGCTTCAGAAAGTGAAGAAGAAGTGAATGCACTCTCACAATACTGGAGTTCATACTTTAATCAGTTGAAATAATCTGCATTCAATTTACACTACATAATATGCATACTATGTTTGTCAGCAGTCATACATGAATTCTTGGAGTGGTTTTTTCTTTTATTTGTTTGTTGCTTAAAGCAACAACAAAGGAACTTTCATTTTGTGTCGATTCTGGTGCCCCGTGTGGATAAAAGCAGTAGTGTTTCTGCTCCCTTCAAGGGGAATCCGACAGAAATGATGGGATGGGACTATATTATCGCATATCACAATAAAAGACACTTTCTAATATTGTGATAATCATGAATATTCTCACATGGCTTGACTTGAAGAATCTGTCTATCTCACCAGCATACAGTTGTATATTGATTTCCTGCTTAACTTTGAACAAGGGTAAAAGGGGGAGCCCATATCTTTCCAGTCATTCCAAAAACCTAATCCTGTCACCATGGCTGAAGGCTCGGCTTGCCAGTTTTATCCCCCACAAACAGTTAAACTGGATGTGTAGAAATAGTATAGATTCCAAATAAAGAACAGGGATATGAGGTGCCTATCTGTGATGCAATAAATATGTCTTTCTTAAAAAAAATCTAAGGTCAAGTGTTTCCAGTATGTTTTAGTGCAAATTTTTCTATATGAATATAAGAATGAAGTATATTGTGTATATAATATCGTATATCGCAATTATTTTGGCCAAGATAATCATGACATTAATTTTCATATCATCCCATGCCTACAGCTCATAGCACTTTTTTTTTTTTAATCCAAGCACTTTCCACACCTGTAGCAATCCCGTATAGGGGAATTAAATTAATATTTGTATTAGTATTAGATTGATTTGATTGATTGATTGATTGATTGATTGATTTACATAGCTAGATTAAAACTCATTGCGCACAGCTGTACAATACAATCACAGTGTGTTCTGTTGGCTACTTAAGTGGAGCAGTGGATCTGATCTGTGGATCACTTGAGCCATTGTTGAGGGGTTAAGGGCTATGCCAAGACAGAGAGATAGTCATTCCCAGGCCATTATAGCGTCAACATAATGACCTGGAAATGATCTGTCTCATGTACTAAAAGTTACGGCAAATATAACAAAAGTTATTTTCAAGTTCAAGTCTCATTAGTCTCCAGAAAGTAAATGTGAAACCAAAGTAACAGTAAACAGATGAATGTGCACACACACACACACACACACACACACACACACACACACACACACACACACACACACAAGATTCCTCCTGTAGTCTCACCTTCCTTCTTGTAGAACACCAACTCAGTCTTGAACTCCCTCCTGTCATCCAGGGCTCCTTGGATCTGGGCCGTTAACCGGTCACTCGTTTCCGGGCCGTACAGGAAGTGACAAGCGCAGCTCTTCTGCATGAGCTCGGCACGGGCGTAACCTGTGAGCTCACAGAACCCGTCGGAGCAGTAGACGATGGGGTAGAGCGACTGCACCTGGGCATTTCCCAAAACGAAGTTGCTGTCTGTGGGGCAGAATATAGAAAGGACAGAGTAAAATAATTAGTTGAGTCAATAATCAGGATCAGCAACCTCTGACATGGTTAATCCTAACCCTAACCTAGTCTTACTACCAACCTTGTCAAATACTGCCACTTGGTCAGTGGCCCTTTGCTGTGACACTATAGGTGTCCCTCTAGCGTCATTGGCTGGCTGGTGTGGCTGTTATTCAATTCAATTCAATTTTATTTGTATAGCGCCAATTCATAACAGAAGTTATCTCAGGACGCTTTTCAAATAGAGCAGGTCTAGACTGAACTCTTTAAAACATTATTTACAGAGACCCAACAGTACCACCATGAGCAAGCACTTGGCGACAAGGGCAAGGAAAAACTGCCTGTTAAAAGGCAGAAACCTAGGACAGATCCTTCGGCTCTAGGTGGGTGGTCGTCTGTCTCGACCTATAGAGAGTGAGAAAGTCCACATGTGGAGGTGGTGGGGCGGATCAATGGCTCGAACAAACGCAGGACTTTAACCCAGGAAAACACTGTAAGTGTCCCGTGTAAGAAAAGTGCAAAATGTCTTTATGTAAAGGTTCAGTGTGTAGGATTTAGTGGCATCTAGTGGTGTAATTGCATATTGCAATTCTTGCAACTCTTCACCCAAGCCTTACACACTGGACCTTTAAGTAACGTACATAAGTTACTAAACTTATAGTAATAGCTGAAAAGTGTCAGGAAATGGGGGAGTGACAGTAAAAGGAGAAAGATATGTAGCAAAGGGCTACAGGTCAGACTCGAACCCGTGGCCATGGCCACAAGGACTCCAGCTCTACCAGGTAAGCTACTAGGACGTGTTGGTTATATATAATATGAAGCTCTTAACCTGCACCGACTGCAACATTTTCATCACAAAATGCATGTGCATCACTGATATTATTATGTTATTTTGATTTCTAGTCAAAGAGAATTCTATTTTATCATGGTTTAAATATTACAGAAACTTTTATAGTCCTGCCAAGAACGCACATCTGGGGATACGATTGAAAACTTCAAAGAAAAGTTCAGTTTTAGTAGTTAGCTGAGTATTTGCACAATACATCCAGTGTCTGTCTGAATCCTAATACTATCCAATTTCAATCTTTAAACACACAAGAAAATACTCACACCATAGCTGTAGGGATTCTGCATCCCTGAAAGAAACCACTGCGTAAATTTCTATTAAAATATTAAAAATGATGCAGACGGAGGGCAGCCCCCTCCAGAGAGAGGAGTCTGACGGCTGGAAGCTCAGCCGCTGGCTTACAGAGCATGCAAGCCCAGCAGATCAGTAACAAGCATTGATCGGGTGAAGTAAACACTGTCAAGAGTCATCTCAACCTTATGAGGTTTCATTAATTCATGCAGCCAATAGCACATCCACCCTCCCTCAACAGTCTTGTGTACAGGCAGGAACATGATCCTCTGTTTACTCACCATACAAACACCGCTACAATCCCAGGCCGCTGATCTGTGATCACCATAAGACAGACGTATATATATATATATATATGTGTGTATATGTGTATGTGTGTGTGTGTGTGTGTGTGTGTGTGTGTGTGTGCTGTGTGTCTGTGTGTCTGTGTGTGTGTGTGTGTCCAATGTGTAAATACCAATTTTTTTGCCAGTACATATTCATTTAATGGCCCTAGGCATGTAGATGGGTGAACACTCTAAAATGGACTATTTATTACTTTGTGCTCAGGCGCTCTCATTGATTCATCAATTCTGAGGGCCCTCGAGACCCCCTTTATTAAATATTTTATGGCCTGACGCTAATGTGTGTGTGTGTGTGTGTGTGTGTGTGTGTTTCATTGCCTGTGATGCTTTCAGCTCATTTCAGACACAGCTTAAAACGAAGAGTTGAGACAGGGAACTTAGGAAATCAGTGACAAAGGAGGGAGTTTGCTCAAGTACTCCTCAGACCATCAGCGGTCTGTCACAACACAGAACAATTCATCTCATTAGCTAATTATTCCTGTCTGTCACACATGCACACTAACTCTTTAATCCTCTTTGGGGAGGACACAGATATCCAGGGATGTCAACAAAAACACCAAATGACAGAGGTGAAGTCCACCTTCCTTAGAGTCCCTGCTGACTGCCACACTTCCTGTCTCTATCCATCCAGTAGGAATTAACCCTGATGTCATCCAGTGCACTGCGTTTGGATATGCTACAACAACAACAACAAACAACAACAATAACAACAATAACAAAGGTAATATGCTCTTTACCCAAGATGATAAATACACATACTATATATATTCTGTCTCCAGAATTAAAATGATTAAAGGTTGGCATTATTAGATGTTTTTCTAACAAATCCTATTGAATGACCAAAATCAGTCCAAATACAGATCCTCTCCAGACATGTTTTAACACTCAACACATAGAAATTGCTCTCTTTGAATAAAATCCAGAATCTATAAATAGAAACTGAGCTACTGGACACAAGATGGGTCAGACAAAACACAGGACTTTCACCTGGGTGACCCCTGTTCATGTCCTGTGTGAAACCAAAAGTCAACATTAACTTCTTACTCACATTACGTGCTTATTCTAACCCTAACCCAAATCTTTTCCTAAACCTAACCAAGTAGTTGTTCTTACCAAACTGCAACCTTTAAAACTCCTAACCTGATGGTGCATATTTATTATTGCTAACTTGACTGCAGAGCCTTGCATGTGCAAAACTGATGCTAAGGGGTACATACAGCGTCCTAGTTTGGAGCTGAAGGCCACTGACCAAACGACCATATTTGATGAATTTGGAGTGACAATGTAAAAGGGTTTCTACACTATACATGTATTGTGACCCTACTATATCGACCCAATCACCGGGTCAGTTTGGATTTCAGCTGCAGATTAAAGTTGAAGTAGTAACCTTTATGAAATAAGTTTTTGTCTTTTTGTAGTTTTGCTGAAACTTTCACTGTATCCTGACAGTAGTACACGAGACAGATAATCTGTGAAACAATCAGGGTCCGTGTATGTTTTGGTCATTGGATTTTCCTTTCAGAAACGGGTATTAAAAACAGAAAACAGTGGTTATTTGATTTTCGTTTTAAAATACAAAAATTAAAATTGAAATACAAGGCGTTTTTCTTTTTCATGGTCAAAGGGATGAGCGAAATTTAAAAATGATTCGATTTTCATTTTCTATTTCATATAACAAAAAATAAAATCACTAGAAAACAGAAACGGAAAAAATACCTGTTTTTCATATTCTGAGACCGGATGTTGTCATTTACAGGACGGTGCTGTGTAGAAGAAACAGTAGGCTAGTAGACTGCGGTCAATCCAGCCGTGAGTCCGATCTCCGTGGTCAAATCAGCCGCACTTAAATTTAGAGTGTACAAGTATTCTCAGCATTATGGTAAATGCGGAGAAACAGCGTATTTACTTCCGGTTTTCAAAATAAAGGTATTTAGAGCCGTAAGCTATAATTAAAATATGTTACATTAAAGTGTTGTGCCCCTGATGAATAAAAAAAAACTTTATATCAAGTATCTTTACTGCACCAGTGTGGAGAAATGCCAAAATAAAAGTCTCATATTTATGCCTCCAGAGATTGCATATTTGACCATATTTGAGGTACTGTAAAAACATATTGCTCAGTGTTTCCTGGCTACTGATGGTTTATTTGACTTTTACACATATGAGACTACAAGCATACTTAATATCAAGCATTTTTATTGTACCAATTTGGAGAAATTCAACAATAAAAGTCCCATATTTGTACCTCCATGTGGCATATTTTCATATATTTGAGCTACTGTAAAAACACTTTGCTCAATAATTCCTGGCTATGGATGGTATATTTGACTTCTACACATCTAAGACTACAAGTATACTTAATATCAAGCATTTTTACTGTACCAATTTGGAGAAATTGAAGAATAAAAGCCCCATATTTATACTGCCAGATTCCATATTTTCTTATATTTTTGAGCTACTGTAAAAACATATTGCTCAATATTTCCAGGCTATGGGTGAAGCATTTTCATTTTACTTCAATAATGCTGCAGTAATCATGACAAAATTTCACACAAATGTTTGATAACATCTTGATAATATAAACACTAAACACAAAATCCTACACAATTCTAATTTGTTTACTTTTCACACAAAATGCAATGCCAGTCCACATTCTTCTTATTTTGCTGCTCTGCTGTGTCCATTTGTAGGTAAAAGGGAAAAATAATTAGTTTTAACTTCAAAACACCATTGTACCTACTGTCTCTTCCTCACATATTATTTTTTATATCATTCAGTGTGACAGCTGTTGCAGGTGGTTCCACATACAGTTTACATTTTTACAGTAGCTCAAATATAAGAAAATATGGAATCCGGAAGTATAAATATGGGACTTTTATTCTTAAATTTCTCCACATTGGTACAGTAAAAATGCTTGATATTAAGTATGTTTGTAGTCTCATATGTGTAAAAGTCAAATATACCATCAGTAGCCAGGAAACACTGAGCAATATGTTTTTACAGTACCTCAAATATGGTCAAATATGCAATCTCTGGAAGCATAAATATGAGGCTTTTATTTTGGCATTTCTCCACACTGGTGCAGTAAAGATACTTGATATAAAGTTTTTTTATTCATCAGGGCCGCATGAAACACTTTAATGTAACATATTTTAATTATAGCTTACGGCTCTAAATACCTTTATTTTGAAAACCGGAAGTAAATACGCCGTTTCTCAGCATTTACCATAATGCTGAGAATACTGTACACTCTAAATTTAAGTGCGGCTGATTTGACCACGGAGATCGGACTCACGGCTGGATTGACCGCAGTCTACTAGCCTACTGTTTCTTCTACACAGCACCGTCCTGTAAATGACAACATCCGGTCTCAGAATATGAAAAAACAGGCCTTTTCTGTTTCTGTTTTCTAGTGATTTTATTTTTGTTATATGAAATAGAAAATGAAAATCGAATAATTTTTAAATTTCGCTCATCCCTTTTGACCA